AGTAATCGGCTAAATGGTATTTTTTGAATGATAGCAAACCAAATTATGTTATAGTCTCGATATTCAGATGTCATTTTACATGACAATACTTCAAGAACCAATAAATACAATTTTTCTCTATCCTTATTCATTCTTATTGATAATGATGGTAAATCGCGGTTGTCAGCACAGGCATTTTTAAGCGATAAAACTCAGGAAAGCTACGAATAGGTCCTACAACAAACCTTGGATGCAACTGGTTTTGAGCTACAGATTATAATGACAGACATAGATCCTGCAATGAATGTGGCATGTCAAGTAAAATATATGAATTCTTATCATGTTCACTGTATCTGGCATATGTCTCAAAATTTGCCTAAACGGCTTAAGGCAAAACTTGAAAGCAAAAATTTTAAAGAATTTATTTGTGATTTTTGGAAAACATGGAATTCTTTAAGCATTGAAGTTTTTGAGTACCGATTTCAATCTTTACTAAAAAAGTATCCAAGTGCCAACAAATGTTTGAGTCATCCTATTTATTCAACACGGCAATCATGGGCTAAATCATTTATAAGTAGAATATTTACAGCAGGCATGCAATCTACCTCATGTGTTGAATCAATTAACGCTATTATTCATAAAGCAGTTGCTTCTAGCTCTAGTATATCAGACGTAGTTGAAGCTTTAAAGCTTCGTATGCAAAGGGAAGAATTAAATAAAAGTTTTATAGAATAGAAGCACAAATCAATAAGTAATCATCAATCATTTATCATTAAGCGGCTTTTTAGTAATGTTAATAATATAATTTGAAAGTACTTTACACCACGAATTGCTGAAGAAATTAACAAACAAATGTGTGAATCAGTACTATACAAATGTGAAAAGTTGGATATTGATCATGCTCTTGAAGATCAATTATATTCGGATGAAAATGAACTAATTAATAGTCAGAAGACAAGTTTTTTTTTTTTTTTTTTTTTTTTGTGCATTACAATTAGTTATAATGTAAGGATTTCTATACATACTAGAATCAAAGTCACGAAGAAATAACAGAAAACATTGAAGATTTTTATGATTATTGGTAAACGTGTTTAAAAAAACTTTTAAAATCAGTCTCAAAAGAGGTAATTAAAGAAGTCTGGAAGGTTATTCTATACATGACATCAAATTCGTATCAGCATATTGTTATGCTTAATGATGGTACATATTTGTACACATATCTATTGTTAGTTTTACACGGAGTTATTTGCCGCCACTATTTCAAGTTAATGGTAGAGAATGCGAATGCGTTATTTCACGTTATGTTAATGCCAACAAGATGGTTACTTGATGATGCTTGGAGATATGTTGATTCAATATATGATGAGCCATTTATTAGTACATCATTTCTGCAACATCAAGGTGATAATAATACACAAAAACTTATTCCCAGGCATTATTATAATATTCAAGAAGTTTAGGTCTGAAACCGTCTACAAAAAAAAATGGATTATGGTCGTTTAATGGGTTATTTTAAGAAAGCATTAAGCAACTCAATGGATAATGATGATCAAAATGCTTTGGATGAACTTATCTTAGACTACATTGCTAAAAAAGAAGAAATTCGAAATGTTTAAACTCAACTAGTGTCTGTTGAAGAAAGTCAAGCTTATGATGATATTAAAGATCCAGTAGTATGCAGGAGTAAAGGTAGACATCAAAATAAACAGTTGAAAGCTTTTAATGAAGAAACAAATAATATTAATAGTAATAAAAAACAACAGGATACTGCTGATAGTGATAGCGAAACTAGACGTAGATGTAGATTATATCATAAATCAGGATATTATACTCCTAAATGCCCTAATAAGAAAAATGCAATGTAAATAGATTTATTTGTATTGTCGGTGTTGTGCCTAAATTGCAAATTTGAAACATTTTTTACCTAGAGGAATTTAGTTTGACATATGCGTAAGTTGCTTAGTTAATTAGAAGTCTACTGTAATGGCTAGGCTGTTCAGTTAACTAGCGTTAATGTTTTATTTTTAATTTTTTTTTTGACTATCCAATCCAAAGATAGGCATCATGCATCCATCGGTGCATGGTGCTTAATTGTTACATAATTAATCTTATAGAAATGACCAATGTTATAATATATGACAATTAAGCACCATATACTAGTAAGGCGTATGATGCCAATTATACATATAATTTACTTGAAAGACTAATTCAAATGTGTTGTAATATAAGTTATTCTTAGATCTTCTTCGCTGAATCTTAAATATTGACTATTGTTATTAACAATCTATTTAACTTTAAGCGGCCTAATATTAAACAAACTGCTCTTGACTTGTATTATTTATTATAGTCTTACTATAATTGAACTTTCCTAATTAAAAATCGAATTCTACTTCTATTGTAGTACCGAAAATAGTTTACTGTATCATATTTACTGTGGTATCGAAAATAGTGGTTATAACGACTATCATGATTAGCAAAATAAAATGTAATATATTTAGGGTTAGCTTTGGTATATCATATAAGCAAACTTTTAATTATATAGATATATTGTATATAATATAAATTTAGTATCATGTGATTTATATAAAGGTGGCATATAATATATATCACATCATGCGCTAAATAAATTTACCCTTTAAACAAAATATTAACAAAATTTTCATCTATATACATATATTTTAGCTAAAGAAATATTTCTTGAAAAGTATAGCTTCAATGTTATTCAGATCTCTGACTCCTCTTTCTTAACTTCTACTAATATTTCGATTACTTGTCAAGATTTGCTTATACACATCAGCTCCCTTCAAAATACTATAACTACAGTTGCAAGTTTATTGAATCATTTAGAGAAGAAAACTAAAAAATATTCCAGTGGTTCAAATTGTCTAGAGTATGCACTTCTCTGTACTAAATTAAATAATATATATATGAAACTCAAGAAAAGAAAGTCACAAAAAGAAATGCTGCAAAAAATTAAAGATCTTGAAAACATGTGATAGATTTAGAGAAAGAAAATCTCTGGCTCTAATTTTTGAATACAACTAATCAAGCTAAAGAAAAAGGCAAAGAAAAAAAAAAAAATAATAATAATAATAACAATAATAATAATGATAATAATATTCAATAATAAATAATTGATTTGATAATTAATATATATATATTTTGTTATTAAATAAAGTAATATCAATAAAATAAAAGTTATTTTGTTAAAATAATAATAATAAGAAAAAAAGTAAAACAAAATATTATATTAGTTAATAATTATAGTAGGTTTTTATAAAGGTCGATCAAAGTATAATTTTAAATGATTAGTATTAATTGTTTCTTTTAAAATTTTATCATTCATAGAATAAAGTTTATAAACTTCTAGCACAACTATATTATGGATATAATAAGGTCCTTCTATTTTTTCTTGAATTTATCATCATATACCTTGGCTTGTGCTGATCAATATATTAGTACCTTATCCCCAATATGAAATAGAACTTCTTTAATATACTCATCATATTTTTCCTTTTGTTTTTGTTGAGCAAATTCAATATTTTGTTGAGCTTTTAACTGAACTTGATATAGTTTATTTGTAATAAGGTCAATATAATCTTGAAGCTGTTATTTATAAAAAGGTTCCTTAGCATTATTAGTAGAATTTAATACTAAATCAAGAAGTATAATAGCTTTTTGACCATAGAGTAATTCAAATAGCTTATATTTGGTAGTAGATTGAAAAACAGTTCAGTAGATAAATAGAGTAGCAAAGATAAAAGTATCTCAAGAATCCTCATAATCACTAACATATTTTGCTAAGATTGTATACAAAGTTTTGTTAAATTGTTTAGTTAATCCATTAGTTTGGAGATGATAGACAAAAGCAAGCCGATATTTAGTATTTATTAGTTGACAAAGAGTATTAACTAAAGTATTACAAAAAGATTTTCCTTGATCAGACAACAATTCTTGTGAATATCTATGATGAACAATAATTTTATCATAGATGAACTTGGCAATAGTAGTAGCTTTCATATCAGATATAGCTTTAGCTTCAGACTATTTTGTTAGATATTCAGTAGCTATAATAATATATCGATTCCCACTAAGAGTAATTTTTAAAGGTCTAATAATATTAATTCCAACTTGGTAAAATAGAGCTAAGACAGGTAATAGATATAAAAATTTGTTTTGTTTTGTTTCTTCTTAATATTGACAAGTATTATATGTTTGAATATAGTTGGTAATACTTTTATATATTTTAGGTTAATAGTATTTATTTTTAGTACGATTATAAGTTCTATCAATGCCAAAATATCTAGCAAGAAGATCAGAATATAGACTATGCAATACAGTAAGCAGCTCAGATTTCTGTACTATATGTAATAATTTTTGTGATAACTTTTTTGGTTTTCTAGATTAATCTTTAGTATAGGTAGGCATATATAATTATTATACAATTATAATATATATAAATTAAGTATTTGAACCAATTTAAATAATTTTATAACTTATTAGGGTCAGAGTTAAAGTTAGAATTTAAATTGGCTCAAATTAGTTAAATTTTATATATTATAATCTTGTAATAATTTATATATGCCTATCTATACTAAAGAAGATCTGTTTTCTATATAATTGATTATTTTTAATAATATAGTATATTACTTGTTTTTTAAATTGTTGTTGTTTCTTTAGATTTAAGTTTGGAGATAATTCTGAAGTTGTTAAGTAGTTAAGAAAGTTGTAGTAAAGTGTAAGTTCTATTTTGGTTAAAGCTTTTTAATATTTTTCTTAGGGTGGTTTTCTAAAGAGACAAGAAAGAGCATCTACATTAGAATGAACTTGTTCTTTACGATATAACTGTATAGAGGTAGTCAACAATCTGTTGAATTTATCAAGTTACTTATTTGTTAGGGTTAAATTGGTTTAATAGCCAACATAAAGCAGAGTAATCCATAATAAGTTCAAAAGATTTAAGATAAATATAAGATCAAAAATATTCTATTCTCCATACTGTAGCAAGACATTCAATTTTAGTTAGAGAATAATTGATTTTAGCAGAATTTAGAGACCTGCTAGTATAAGCAATTATATGCTCATAGTTGTTATTATTTCTTTAAGCAAGAATAGTACCTAAATCTTGATATGAAGTCTTAGTATAAAGAATAAAAGGTTTTGTAAAATCAGGGTATTAAAGAATAGATGCAGTTATTAATTTTTTCTTAAGAATATTCATTGCTTGTTAGCAAGTTTCAGTTCAAACAAAAGGAGTATCCTTTTTTAACAACTTGTTTAAAGGTTTAACAATTTGTGAAAAGTTTAAAATAAACTTTTGGTAATAAGAAGCTAGATCAATAAATTCATAAAGTTTAGCAAGATTAGGGACATGACAAAAATCAGGTGATTTTTTAGGGGGGAGGAGGTAAAAAATTTAAAATTATATATAAAGACCTGATCAAAATATATAGTAAAAGAGGGGGAGGGGAGTAAGCCTCTGATAAAAAAAAATCAAGGTGATAAATAACACTGCCCTTATACAATACAGGATAGTTTTGAACTTTATCAATTTTTAATAAATCAGGAGCCACACTATTTCTACTAATAATATATTTTAAAAAGACTAATTGTTGTTTTCCAAAACAATATTTATTCTTTTTTAATTTTAGTCTAGTATTTTGAAGATGTTTAAAAACTTCCTTGAGATGCTCCAAATACTCCTCAAAAGTTTTTGAATAAATAGTAATATTATTAAGATATACTAAAATAAATTTATTTTTAAGATCAGAAAAGATTTTATCCATAGCTTATTGAAAAGTAGCAGGTGTATTTGTTAAACCAAAAAGTATAATATTAAATTCAAACAACCTATATTTGGTAATAAAAGCAATTTTTTCATAATCCTCAGACTTCATTTCAATTTGCCAATATCTACTAGCCAAATTGAGAGTAGTAAACTATTTAGAGTTGATCTTTAGTATAGATAGACAAATATATTTATTATATAATTATAAGATATATAAATTAACTATTTTGAACTAATTTAAGTAATTTTATAAATTATTAGGGTCAGGTTAAGTTAGAATTTAAATTAGCTTAAATTAGTTAGATTTTATATATTATAATCTTGTAATAATTTATATATACTCATCTATACTAAAGGAAATCTCTATTTAGCATCTTTAAAAGTATTCAAAATTTTATCAATTTGTGGTAAAAGATAAATATCTTAGTTGGTAATTTGTTAAACTTTCTGTAGTCAATACAAAGCCTTAATTTACTATTTTTTACTAAAACAACAGAAGAAGGCTATAGGCTTTTTGATAGAGATATAAGCCTATTTTCAAGCATCAAAGAAAGTTCTTGTTGAATAAATTCATATTCAGCTAGTGATATATAGTAAGCTTTTTGATAAATAGGTAGAATATTTTTAGTAATAATTTGATATTGGTCTATAGTTGTTTTGTCTAGATTATTTATTCTCTTAGAGAACATATAGTCATTTTCAGTTAAAAATTGTTGTAATTGTAAATTATTTTCAGAAGACAAATTTATTTTTTCAAAATCCTTCTTAGTAGTAAAACAACTTATTGCTTCTTTCACTTGTATACATTTTGGACATGTTTTTTGTAGTTAAGTACAATAATATTTAATAGTTTGAGAATCACTGGCTTGCTTAGAATGAAAGTTATAATTATCAAAAGATTCATTTTGGTATTTAACTTAGGTATCATTGATTTCAAGTATAGGTTTTTCATCAGAATTTTCTATAACTAAAAATTCTTTAGATTCTTTTAGTTTATTATCAGATGATTCATATTTATCTTCACTATATTCATTAGTTTCAATAACTAAAGTTTGATTATTTGAGTTATTAGACTCAGAAGAAATTTTTAAAGAAATAGACTCATTATTATTATATTGTGGCTTTTTCCAACATGTAATAGGTAAAATATAAGATTTGTTTTCCCAAGTAAATTTAAATTGTCTCTTTTTCAAATTAATGATATTCTGCACTTTATTAAGCCAATTAACTCTAGCAATTATAGCATAACCTTGGATATTATTTACTTCTACATCAATAGAGATAGTAATATCAGATAATTAAAGGGATATATTATTAATAATTCCTAGTGATTATTTTTTTTCACCATTAATATTAGAAAAATAAAGATTAGATAATTTTTTAATAAACTGATTTAATTTGTTAGCAAAAGCTTTTGACATTATACTTGTAAGTGATCCTGTATCCAGAATTAAATAAAATAAAGTTTTATCAATACTGGCATTACAGTAAACTATATCTACAGCTTCTTTGAGTTTTGGTTGTTTATTAGTAGAAATTAGTAAGGGTGCTAATTTAAACTGATTTTGATTATTAATAAAATTAGAATTATTGTCCTTTAAGATAGATGATTGATTATTATTATAATTATTTAATAAAGAAGTAGATTTAGAAGAAGAAATTGATTGATAGGCACTACTGCCCTCACAGTATGTTTTTAGAAGTTTAAAGACTGTGCTGAGTTTTGAACAAAGTTTTGTAACTCCTCAATAGAAAGCATATAATATGTAGATTGAGGTTTTTGTTTATTTGAAAATAGAAAAGTTTAAGATTGTAGTTAGAAATTATTTCTTGGTGATTGATAATTATTATTGTTGATTTGGTTATTATTATATTGAAAGATTTCTTTCTTTTGATTATTATTGCCAGAATTGTTATTGTTATTTCTTTGATAGCAATCATGTGCACTATAGCACCGTTTATTGCAAATTTGACAAACAATAGTATTTTATTAAGAAGAACTATTATTTTGATTATTGTTATTGTTATTACAATTATTATTATTGTTGTTACAATAGTTATTATTATTATTATTTTGAGAAGTATTTTATTTTGGCTGGGTTGCTGTTTAAAATAGTTTAAAATAGCCTGAACAGCTTGAGAAACTTCATTATTAGACTGATTATTAATAGGAATAATATTACTAGGATGATGGAAAGAAAGAGAGTAATAGTTAAGATATCCTCTATTTAGAGAATAAGAACCAAGAAGTGTTCCTTAAGAAAAAGCAGCTTTAGCAGCTTTGGCATGAATTAAGACCTAAGCTATAGTAGTAGAACAAGAAATTTCACTAATTTCTAAATTTCACTTCTTAGTCTATCAATAAATTGGTATAGTTTATCTTTTAATAGATATTGATTATTTAGATTAACTTTTTGATATAGATATTCCAACTCAGCATAATAATTCTCAACAATTTCACCAAATTGTTGAACTCGAGATTGGAGATTAGCAAGCCATCGAGATTTTTGATGAATAATGAAAAAATTGAAGTTGAAATAAATAGACAAAAAATTAAGCTAGCCTTAAATCATTCTTCTAAAACTGAACTTTATTAGCAATAGTCCTTTACCAGGACTGTGCTAATCCTTTTAGATAAGCAAGAATAATAATTAACATTTGGGGCTCCTGGATATTATTAACAGAACATGCAGTTGCAAATTTATTTAGCCAATATATAGGATCCTGTTTTTCTCCTTTAAAGACAGAAATTTGAACAAGAAAAGTTTCCTTGAAAAATTGAGATTATTCTTTTTTTATAGCTTTAACTAAACAGTTAAAGTGATAGAGAACTTGGGATCACTAAATATTGTTTCTTCAAGTAGGTCTTCAAAATTAAAAGGGAATAAGTCATCCAACTTAACAGATAATTGTTTATTCTTATTAGCTGATGATAACAAATTTATCAGTAGAATATTTGTTGAAGTTGAAGTTGATATAAATAGAATATTTGTTGAAATTGAAGATATAGGAGATAAATTGGAAGGTACTATTTTAGAAGATTAATATATTGGAGAATATATATAGAGAGTTAGTGCAAAGTGAAAGAAGCAATAAGTTGTTTTACTACTAAGAAGGATTTTGAAAAAATAAATTTGTCTTCTGAAAATAATTTA